GGGGGGCCCCCGGGGGGGGGGGACTCTGTGATTTGTCCTCCAGTTTCCTGAACACGACATCTTCCACAGACAATGACGGCCGAAGCGGCAGATGTTTTATATTTTTCGGAGCATTAGATAACAAGGCGTCCCAAATACCCCTCCGCGGTGCGGCCGGTTACACGCAAAGCATCTTTCCGCTTTCTCTGGGCTCATGTCAGTGGCAGCAATTACGCGTCCGGAGGCGTCCCGCGGGGGCCGAATCCGGCGTCACCCCATTAACCGCTGTCGTCTCAAATTACGGCGAGGTTTATTCCCCCCGCAGGTAGCCGGCCCGAGCCGCGCTCACTGGGAAATGTTGTTACTTCGCTTAGGACTCAATAACCGGACGCGTTCGCGGCGGCTACAATCACGACAGGAAAAAAAAAACCAACAATCATTCGAAGAGCTTTTAATGGGCGAGTTTGGGATGCTGGGGCTCCGACCTGCACATTCGTTCCGCATCAATGAGGCGTTAAATGGCGCAGCGAGTGAAGGAAGACATACGCTATACCGCTGACGCCGCGGCGCAGGACGCAGGACACAGTGCGGCCTATTTATAAACAATTGGCAGAATCCTTCATCCAGAGAAACTCCATTAAAGGAGAACTACGGGGGTTACTACTACTGTGCCATTCTCTTCAATGGTCCGCCACGCCCCCCTCCTGCCCCACTAAAAAGTGAGCCGGCCGCAATGCGAGGCAGTGAGTTCTGGACAGAATCGGGCCGGGAACGCACTGCAACTAGTGTGAATGGGCCCTGAATGTATTGTGATGTAATACAACATCTCCAAAATACGCCCCTTCCTCACCAATGACACCGCAAAACTACTCATCCACTCCCTTGTTATCTCTCGTCTGGACTATTGTAACTCCCTCCTCATTGGCCTTCCACTACACAGGCTCCTCCCCCCTTCAGTCTATCATGAATGCAGCTGCCAGACTCATTCACCTGACCAACCGCTCAGTGTCTGCAACCTCCCTCTGCCGATCCCTGCACCGGCTTCCATCCCCCGCCCCCCTCTGCCGATCCCTCCACTGGCTTCCACTCGCCCAGAGGATAAAATTCAAAATATTAACAGTCACCTATAAAGCCGTCCACAACTCCGCCCCCGTCTATATCTCCAACCTGGTCTCAAAGTATCACCCTAACCGTCCCCTCCGCTCATCCATTGACCTCTTGCTTTCCAGCTCCGTCATCAACTCCTCCCATGCTCGCCTCCAGGACTTCTCTAGAGTCTTTCCCATCCTCTGGAACTCTTTACCCCAACCTGTCCGTCTATCTCCCACCCTGACTGCCTTTAGGCGATCCCTAAAGACTCATCTCTTCAGGGAAGCCGATCCCACCTCGACCTAACCACTGAACCTTCACATTCTCAAATAATTCATCCCCACGCAGCTCCCTCCTCCTGTATCACTGGCCCCTCCTCTTTTAGATTGTAAGCCCTCAGGGGCCGGGCCCTCCTTACCATCTTGTCTTGAATTGTATTGTAATTGTAATGTCTTCCTTATATTGTACAGCGCTGCGCACACTGTTGGCGCTCTATAAATCCCGTATAATAATAATAATATGGCCACTAGATGGAGCTGAGGAACATAGGTATATAAATACCTATTCCCGATACTCCTCAGCTCCATCTAGTGGCCATAAAGAACATCATTTGTTATCATTATTCGCACAGAGCGAACGTTCACGGACATTCACAGGGTGAATGGTCCCGCGTATTGTGTTTAAATAGACCTCATAATGTATTGCTGCTCCTTTATTGCCCATTCAACAGGCAGGTTGGTGACACCACGGTATGCCGTAATCCTGAAAAGAGAAGGTGGTGTCACCCTCCTGGCTGTGCCGTATGAATCACAAGAATAGCCGGACAGATTTACAGATCCCGGCGCATAATATATAAGACACGCGCGTATCCATCTGCCGGGCTGCGGGTCAGATTGTAAGGACATGATAAGAAGTGTAAGAGCCCGGGGGATGGCACGGATCAAGGGGACCGGTCTTGTCTGTGTGGCCGTCGTCCTGATCCTTGGATTCCCCGATTAGCAGTTCGCTGACCTGGAACGGAAATGAGCCCGTTCAGCGTGCTGGTCCCGGCTCACCAAGCACTGAAGGATGAGGATGACTTCCCCTCATTTCCATCCTGAAACGCTCCAATGTTGCGATGATTTCAGCGCAGCAATTAGCGTTGTCGCGATGCCGCGACCGTCACAGGAATCGCATCTTATTTAGACGGCGTCTCCAGGTAAGGCGACGTACCCGCAGCCGCACCCCCCTCCCCCAATCACGCGGCGCCATTAATATTGCATCAGACAATAGAGATCACTTCTTCATTCTTAAATCGGTACTTACATTTTTTTTCCCTCTGATTGATCTGAAGTTGAAATGAACGAATTTATTATAATTGCCGAAGTCCTGAATACAAAGCGGCTCCAAATAAGGAACGTCGCGGCGAGATTGATGGCCCTGCCGCAGAAACATGCCATATGTCTCTCTCCGACTTTCCCCGACGTCTCTTCTGCTGCGGGAGGAAAGAAAGGATCTTAACTGAGAATTTGGGGACGGCGGGGCGGGAGACGCGGATATGGATGACGCAGGACGCGTACAAGGCGATCGAATGCAATCCCGGAAATGTGGGATGAGACCCTTCCTGCTGGTCGAGGCCGGAATTGCCAATTTTAATGCCGCCGTAAGAGACACGAGCCGCCATCGCACGAGAAGTGTTTACGTTACCCCCGCCGGGGAGATTTACCTTCACTTCCTGTCAGGGCAGGAAGTGATAGGAAATCTCTTCCATGGGGGTCAGATACAAACAAGTTTTTAGTGCAGTGGGAAGGTTGCTACTGCCATCTGTGTGCCTGCTGAGGAGGTCTTCCCTTCACTTCCTGCCAGGACAGGAAGTCATGAACATCTAATGGGGATGCGGGCGTGTATAGAGTGTGTGCGTGTATAGTGTGTGTGCGTGTAGAGTGTGTGTGTGCGTGTAGTGTGTGTGGGCGTGTAGAGTGTAGTGTGTGTGTGCGTG